GCGTAAGTTATTTTCAACTTAATTTGGATCCAACTGAGATAAACCTTATTAGCACATGTGAACTATAGAGATCCGATGAAATTATTCAATAACCTCTGCGTTACTGATCTGCGTAATTCTGCTTGCAATCTGCGCAGGCTCTGGAAGCGGAGATCGTGTCGCACGAGCCAGGCATCGAGACGATAACGACGTCGGCTGAACACATGATCAGTGGCAATCACTTTGCCGCGGGGGAGGTGCAGGCTAAGCTGAACACGCTGCTGCGCGCCCTGCAGGACCTGAAGGACAGCAGTGCGGAGAGACAGAGGAAGCTGCTGGATGCTGTCGAATCACACACGGTGAGCAGGGTATAAAAAAAAACACGGGAGCGATGAGCGATTCGCTTTTCAAATCTCCGAAATCGCTCCCGTGAGGCTCAAAATAGCTCCCGGAAAATTTTTGACGAGAGCGATTTTTCCCACAGACTTGAAAAAGAGCTCTTGTGAAAAAAAAGTAGTTTTTTCGCTGAGTCGGTGAGCTGTAGTGATTTACTGTTGATGATGTCATTGTTGTAGCATCCGACTACGTTTGTTTGTGGTTGGTCGAGAATCCTAATCACATGTGTGAATGTCATTCCTCGTATTGTTTTCCATCCATCCTCCTCTATATGTCTTTTTAAACAAATTTGCATGTGTATAATGTTTATAATTGATGGCAGTGTTGTTACTGATAGCTGAATCACTAACAGTTCTAATATCAGATAGCTAATATAGCCTCACGTTTCTGTAGTTCTACACTGAGGTAAACGAAGCACTGCAGTGGATCAATGAGAAGACACCACTCCTCACTAACAAGGACCTTGGCAAGGATGAAGACTCTGTACAGGTAAGCATTGGTGGCTTATTCCTGCATATTCCAATCTAAGTACTGCAATACAAATATATGCAGAAGACGTCTGCTTGAATCGATTACCGTAACGTAAAATTTTCTAATGTGAAATCCCCGCTTTCCCATCGACTTTCATTATTTATTTATTATCGTGTGATTGCCGATGAATTATGATGGGAATTTTTTCGGCCAAACAATACGTTACATTACGGACAATATTCAACACAGATATTAGCTTCATCATGCTTTTACATTTGCAAGTATGTGCAGCGAGTTCAATAGTTACATCTAACATATTACAGCGTCATACAGCTTACGTAATCAATGGTTTCTTCGTTTATTTGTTTATTTTTTTTGTTTATTCTACGATCATTTGCTCGTCGGTTTGCATAGATCTATATTGTGACACTCCTGCTATAGTTACATCTAACATATTACAGTGTCATATAGCATACGTAATCAACGGTTTATTTGTTTATTCATTTTGTTTATTCTACGATCGTCACGTTTGCACAGTCGCTCATGAAGAAGCTGTTACATGTCGAAGAATGTTACATCTAGCATATTACAGTGTCGTATGGCGTAGCAATCAACGGTTTATTTGTTTATTTGTTTTGTTTATTTTACGATCGCTGTTTGCAGTCGCTCATGAAGAAGCTGTTACATGTAGAAGAATGTTACATCTAGCATATTACAGTGTCGTATGGCGTAGCAATCGACGGTTTATTTGTTTATTTGTTTTGTTTATTTTACGATCGCTGTTTGCAGTCGCTCATGAAGAAACTGGACGCGGTCGACGTTGACATCGACAACTTCAGCAACAACGTCAACAAGCTGGCCATCCTCAGCCAGGGCCTGGTCAAGCGCGGCCACTTCGACAGCGACAACATCCGGCATCAGCAGGAGGCCGTCGAGGCGCGCTACGGCGAGCTGCGCGAGCTCGCCGCCCGCCGGCGCCACCTGCTGACAGACAATAGGCATCTTCTGCAGTTTGAGCGCGAGGCGGAGGAGCTGGAAGCGTGGATGACGGAGAAGGAGGCGCTGGCGGCGGCGGAGGACTACGGCCGCGACGTGGAGCACGTACAGGTCGGTGCTTGACCCGCGGAAACATTGACCGCTGACCGCCGGGTGTCATTTTACATTAGTGCTTATATACGTTATATCAAGAGCATATAAAGAAGGAGAGCGTACAACGGTGAAATGCTGAAACCCTGTTGCAGTATTAGTAGAATGAATAAACTTTCCCC